CAGCGGGAGACGTGCCCTTTCTGGCCCCGACCCCCCAAACCTTCTGTGTGCTGGTTCCCACACACTGTGCCTCTGGCTGGAGATGAACCCCCAGTGGACTCAACTCAGCACCGCCACCACAGGGCGGGTGTCTGAACAGCTGACGGGCGGAGGAGCCCCTGGACGATGCCCACGCCTGCTGGGCCGCCGCAGAAACGGGAGGCGCACGTGCCTGTCCGTGCAGAGACCTGGGCTGCTGCAGCCGGTTCTCCCCACCGCCCAGACCCCAGGCTGCCCATCCTCATCTTCCTGTTATCCCACCTCCGCTCCCCACCTGCCACGAGATGACCACGACGCGCGCATGATGTTTCAGCCAGGTCCTGGGGTCCGATCTGGGTTCTTAATTCTTCCCGTAACCCGATCCTCCTCCCAGCACTTCCTCCTTGCTGGCGTCCGTAGCCGAATTCCATTTCAATCACTTCGATTCTCGGAATATTCTTCTCCTGTTCCCCCATCTCCACCCCCACCTTGGGTGTGTCCCCGTCCCCGGCTTCTCTCTTTGACGCGGCTTCATCTCTGACCTCTTGGTGTCTTCCATCTCATCCAAGAAAACAGAGGCAGAAAGGAGAGCTTAGCGGTCACCTGTCAGCTCACCAGGGTACGTTCTTCCAGGAAACACCTGGCTTTAGCCACAGCTGTTTATTAGCCTCTAGTTGTGCCTGGCACAGAACAGATGCTCCATGAACATCATTCATGTTTCTTTGTGTATTTATTTTTATTTATGGTGCCCAGGGTCTCCGTTGCTGCCCGGGGCTTCCTCTAGCCGCAGCAAGCGGGAGTTTCTCTTCACTGCGGTGGCCTCTCTTGTTGCAGAGCCCAGGCTCTGTGCCTGCGGGCTTCAGCAGCTGTGGCCCCAGGCTTAGTTGCTCCGCAGGCGGGATCTTCCCGGACCAGGGATTGAACTCGCACCCTCTGCACTGGCAGGCGGGTCCCTGTTTACTGCATCACCAGGGAAGTCCAGTGTCTGTTAAATGACTAGACAAACGTCGACCCTATGGACTCTACCCTGCCGGTCTCCTCTGACCTTGGGATTCTTCAGGCAAGAATACTTAAGTGGGCTGCCATTCCCTACTCGAGGGGATCTTCCCGTCCCAGGGATCACAGCTGCACCCCTGAAGTCTCCTGCATGGGCGGGCAGATTCTCTACCACTAGCGCCCCTGGGAAGCTCGACTAGACAAAGGGACAGAGGCATTACTTTTCCAGTGTCAAAGCCCAGTTACCCCCAGTGATGGGGAAGGACAAAATCCAGAGATCAGCTGGGAGTTTAGAGAGGAATCGAGATCTTGGGGTGTCACTGGGGAGTCAGGGCGCTGCCTGACACCCTTCTCGTGCAACGTGGAGGGAGGGTCTCTGCCACCAGTGAGCACCGGCAGGTGGAAGGAAAGGGCTGGGGCACCAGTATGGAAGAATGTTTCAGAAGAGGAGCCACATGAGCGGTGGGGGAGGGCACAGACAGGAAAGCAGACGCCCTGCTCTCCGCAGAAGCCAGCTGTTTCTGAGGAAACTCCACGTCCGGGCCTCCTGGAAGCTGAGAGTCTGCACGTGCCAGCCACTGCTGCGCTCTGGGGATGCACGACTGAGAGCGGCCACTCTCTGCCCGGAGAAGCCCACGGTTCAGCAGCATGTCTGGCCCAAACCACGGTCATGTGGTCACGCGCTAAATGCAACCTGCCAACAGCAGAGCAGGAGAGCCCTGGGCACAGAGGGCGTGTCAGTCACCCTGCCGGAGACGTGTACTGGGACAGACACACAGAGGCGCCGATGCCTGGGCTCCTCTCGGGAGAAAGTCCCCGAACTAAGGGCGTCCGTTCACTCAGCAACTGGTACCGAGCTCTGACTCTGCCAGGCTCTAGGCCACAGGGATGGGCAGAAACAGACACAGCCTTGCCCTCGCTTCCCCGGGGAGAAGTGCCATCAGCCTCACAATCACACCAACAAATGCACATCCTAAATCCGAAACCAAGGCTAAGACGGAGCGGTGCCAGGCTTTCCCGGAGGAGAAATAAACCGTGAGTACACTTACGGATCTATGGAGAACGTGGACGGCAGAGACTGCGGGCTGGACCAGAGTGTAAATAACAGAGCTGCCGGCCGCCCAAGGAGAGACCAGACTGCCCAGGTCGACCCTCGGGGGCGAGGTCTGACCACATGACCAAGCCACGGCCAACAGTATCTGGCGTGTGATTCCTGAGCGCATCCCTAAAGAAGGGACTTCTCTCCCCTCCCCTTTTCTCCCCTTCCTCTCCCGCTGGAGGTGGTGGTGAGTCGTCTGGGAGCCTATGGACCACGGCGATGCTCCAGGGAAGCGGGAAGCAAGGGGCCCCAGGGCACTGACGCTGGAACTGCCTTCAGAGCCCGGAACCCTTCCCCAGGTAGGCGTGTGAAAGAGAAACGGACTTCTCCCTTCTCAGGGAACTATCACTGGAGTGCTTTGTGGGAGCAACTAAACTCATACATCTTTTTTTTTTTTTTTTTTTTAGAATGACCCTTATTTACTTGTCTGGCTCAACTCTTGGTTGCAGCACACAGAATCCTCATTGCATCATGCAAGATTTTTCCTCGTGCTACACAAACTCTAGTTGTGGCATGCAGACTCAATAACTGTGATGTGTGGGCTTAGTTGTCCCTCGGTGTGTGGTAAAGAACCCGCCGGCCAATGCAGGAGACACAAGAGACACGGATTTGATGCCTGGGTCAGGAAGATCCCCTGCAGGAGGGCATGGCAACCCACTCCAGTGTTCTTGCCTAGAGGAGCCTGATGGCTACAGTCCATGGGGTTGCACAGAGTCAGATACGACTGAAGCGACTTAATACACATGTGGGATTTCAGTTCCCCGACCAGGGATCGAACCCATGTCTCCAGATTCTTAACCACGAGAGCGCCCAGGAAGTCCCCGAACTAATACTTCTTAATGCACACATCTGGAAGATACTAAAGGTCACTTAGCTTTCTTTTGCTGAAGAATTGATGCTTTTGAACTGTGGTGTTGGAGAAGACTCTTGAGAGTCCCTTGGACTGCAAGGAGATCCAACCAGTTCATCCTAGAGGAGATCAGTCCTGGGTGTTCATTGGAAGGACTGATGCTGAAGCTGAAACTCAAGTACTTTGGCCACCTGATGGGAAGAGTTGACTCGTTGGAAAAGACCCTGATGCTGGGAGGGATTGGGGGCAGGAGGAGAAGGGGCCGATAGAGGATGAGATGGCTGGATGGCATCACCAACTCGATGGGCATGAGTCTGAGTAAATTCCGGGTGTTGTTGATGGACAGGGAGGGCTGGCGTGCTGCGATTTATGGGGTCACAAAGAATCGGACACGACTGAGCGACTGAACTGAACTGAACTGAACAGTCTCTTAATAATCCCACAGACAGTAACAATTAGTCAGGCCTGTTGAGAAATGAGTTGGACTCTGCCTCAAGAGAGATTTGATTATTTGTGTACGCAGGATGAGGAACTCATTGCTGGGGAAATGAAATCATCTGGGGATGTGGAGAGAAGTTTGGCTTCTAGAAGGTTCGTGACCTTTCCAACCCCCCTCACATCTATTAGATTAAGCTGTGTGCAGCCCCAGCCGTCCCCAGGCCAGGCTGTCTAAGGGGCTTGTCATCCCAGGAGCGGGAAGGCAAAGCTTAGCAGACAGACAGCACCTCCCTTCTCCACGCTTCCCCGTGACAGGTTGTTACAGCAGGAGAGCCTCCGAAAGAAACGAGATTCCTGCCTCTGGCTGAGGACCCGACACAGTCCGTATTATCAGTGAGAGGTGACTGTGGCCCAATTCCAAGACCTGTGGGGAGAGCAGTCTGCATTTTTTTAAATGTTTAATTAATTGATTAATCTTAATTGGAGGATAATTACAATATTGTGATGGTCTTTGCAATACATCAACATGAATCGGCCACAGATATACATGGGTCCACCTCCATCCCATCCTCAACCCCCTTCACTTCCCTCCCCACCCCACCCCCTAGGTTGTCCCAGACACCCGCTCTGGGAGCCTTGCTTCATGCTGCTTCGAGATCGCATGAAGCATCTGGTCATCTGTTTTACAAATGGTCCTGTATACGTTTCCATGCTATTCTCTCAAATCCTCCCACCCTCTCCTTTAACGGCACCTGCCTCCTCAGGAGAAAACCGCTTGGGGAGCAGGGTGGCTATCAGAGCACCTTCAGGCATCAGCTCTCTAATAACGTGGGTGTGAGCCGGCTGCGTGAGCGGCCAGTCTGCTGTCCCTGGGGTGTCCCCGGGGCTTCTCTGGTGGCTCAGACGGGAAAGAATCTGCCTGCAATGCAGGAGACTGCAGGTTCGGCCCCTGGGTCAGGTAGATCCCCTGGAGGAGGGCACGGCGACTCCACTCCAGTGTTCTCGCCTGGAAAAATCCCCTAGACAGAGGAGCCTGGCAGGCTGCCCTCAAGGGGGTCGCAAAGAGTCGGACAGACTGAGCGACTGATGTCCAGCTGATGTCCCCCGAGAGTCTGAGCTGCTCACAGGAGGTCAGGGCGCCAGGTGAGACCTGCTTCCTGCCTCTCCCCAGCTCTGCCCCATCAGCCCCATCAGTGCCCACTCCCTGACCATGGGCTCTCCGCAGGGCCAGCATGCCGAGGCGGACAGGACAGAGCCCGTAGCCTGTGCGGAGGTGTTGGCACCTGGCTACAGTGTGGTTCCAGGGTGAGCACCGTGCGCCCGGGGGGAACCGCGGGGCTCCCAGCGCTTCAGGCCGGAACAGCCACAAAGGACAAACGACTGCGCGAGGACTTCTGGGACCTCCCTGCTCACCACGAGGCTCGGGCACGAGGCCCTCGCGCGCGTGCAACACGCGTGTACACACACACATGCACGCAAGTACACACGCAGGCGCGCGGTGCCTGCGCCTGGGGGCGCGCGCGGAGGGCGAGCACCTGTCCGCGCGGAGCTGCCAGCTCGGTTCCCTGCCCGCCGGCCCGCGCGCCCTCCCCGCGCCGTCTATTTATATGCGCCCCGGCTTGGCCCGTATTGGTCAGGCGCCCGGCCGGTCAGGCGCCATCGCGGCGGCCCCAGCGGAGCGACTGCGGCCGCGCCTTCAGCCGGGCAGCCCCGTGAGTAGCGGCGACCCTCCTCGGGGCGGGGGGACCACCCGCGCGTCCCGGGGCCCTCCGGCTCCTGCGCCTCCGCCGCGAGCGCAGTCCCGCGCTGGGACCCGCCAGGTCCTGGGGCGCCCTCGCCGGCCCGTGAGCGCTGGGGCGGGGGCGCCTGTGCCTGCCCGTCCCGGGGGTCCTCCTGGAACCCGAGGACAGTGCCCGGCACAGCACACGGTCCAGAGTCTTCACTGCAGATTGAAGATTCTAACCGCGCTGCGTCTCCCTCCCGCCCCGACGCCCGATGCCCGGGGGGACTCGAGGAGCCAGCTAAAGGCTCCGGGGAGAATGAGAAGAGGCCGCGAAGGGAGGAGCAAAGACGACCCGTCTTTTGCAGCTTCTCTCCCTCCTGGGCGGCCTTGGCGCCCCGGTGTGGTTTATTACCATGCAGTGAATCCAGGGTTGTCAGTACGCCTGGGAGACTCGGAGCACTCAGGCCGGTCCAGACCCATTTCTGCCAGGCTCTGAACAAGATGGTGATGCTGAAAGGCAATAGGGTTGGGGACTAGTGGGGAAGCCAGGGGTCACCAAGGTAACGGCTGTAGGGGTGAGAAAACAGCAGCCCCAGCGGAGGAGTTAGAGAGGAGCGCGGAGGCCGCGGAGGAGGGGCGGGGAATGGGGGGGGGCGTGTCTCCTCTGAGAGGTGGGGTTACCCAAGGCCTGCTGGTGGTCCTCGCCATGGAAATTAAGAACCCTCTGTTGCCCTGTCTTCCTTTTTTTTTTTCCTTCAATGGATGCTGGAATATGTCAGCTTTGCATGTTGACAAGTTACCAAAAAAAGTCTGTGAGCTGCCAATTTGCTATCTCTGGCTTCAGGCCCCGAAGAACAGGAGCCAGGGCCAAATTCCCGAGCACACGGTAACTGGGGACCGATCTTGAGGGCCAGAGACCTGGATGTCAGAATGTGTCAAGCTGCAGGCAAGGAAATCGAGGTAATGATTCTGCAGCATTTATTTGCCTCGGAGAAAAGGGATAGCAACTTAAAGAATCAAGCGCCACTTTTATATGTAGAAAGAAAACATCTTCAAGATACTGGTTAATAATATGCATAAAAGCTATGAACTTGTAATGTAGGGTTAAGCAAAGCATTCATTTAATTGCACAAACCTTGTTGAGCAACTCTCCTGTGCCAGGCAGTGTCACAGACAGATGTTAGAAACACAAAAGGAGGGACTTCCCAGGTGGTCCGGTAGCTATGAGTTTGCTCTCCCAATGTAGGGGGCCCAGGTTTGATCTCTGGACAGGGAACTAGATCCCACATGCCGCAGCTAAGACCCAGCACAGCCAGATAAGTAAATAATGTTTTTTAAGAAAGAATACAAGAGGATTAAGATCGGAGTCCCGTGGTCACTGTGCTCCCGGGTGAGAAGGGAGGGGGGTGGACACAGAAATAAATTGTGGTAACAACAATGCTTTTGAACTATGGTGTTGGAGAAGACTCTTGAGAGTCCCTTGGACTGCAAGGAGATCCAACCAGTCCATCCTAAAGGAGATCAGTCCTGGGTGTTCATTGGCAGGACTGATGCTGAAGCTGAAACTCCAATACTCTGGCCACCTGATAAGAACTGACTCATTGGAAAACACCCTGATGCTGGGAAAGACTGAAGGCGGGAGGAGAAGGGGGCGACAGAGGATGAGATGGCTGGATGGCATCACCGACTCGATGGACATGGGTTTGGGTGGACCCCGGGAGTTGGTGATGGACAGGGAGGCCTGGCGTGCTGCAGTCCATGGGGTCGCAGAATCGGACACGCCTGAGCAGCTGAGCTGACTGACTGAACCACAGGGAAGCCACTGCTGTGCTCAGGTAAGAAGCAAGGAAGGGCCTTGGAGGCTTCACTGGAGGCTGATGTCTGGGCTGAACTTTGAAGAGCCAGTCCCAGTTTTTGAGGCGGAAGCGGGTGAAGCGTGCTGCAGACAGAGAGCAACATGTGAGGCTGGCTGCGCGAGACACCAGGGTGCGCCGTCACGGAGAGCCTGCTAACACAGGGAGGCGCAGTCAGCCGCTGAGACAGGGCTGGGAGGGCCCGGAGACGGCCTTCTGATGCCTGGATGGCGCTGGTGAAAACAGGCTCGAGATAACTTCTGTGACCGTGGGGAGACTGATTCATGCACAGAGTCACCAGCTCCCAGAAGGGCTCTGGAACTCAGGCATCACTTTCTGAGGTCATGTTGACCTTCCTCGGCTTGCCAACCAAAATCTGTTCAAAGGGGTTTTATGCTGGAATTTGGGACCCTACCCACGTAATTTCTTAGGTCTTCAGTCTTTTTCATCAGTAAAATTCAAGGCTTTACTGTTGACCAACTATATCATTTCAGATTATAACCTCCTCACATACTGAACATGTCTATGGGGAAAAAATATATACACTAATTCAGGAATCCAGTAACTTCTTTTCCCACCAAAGCAGATGTAGGAAGACATTGTTCCTGCCTTTCTCTCAAGGCAGTTCTCATTCAGACTGGAGAAGTAGGGTGTGAGCTTTTGGATTTTCCAGTGACTCGTAAGTTAGGTTGCCTTCACCGTGACAGTAGATTCATAAGATATCTATATATCCTGTCTGTGTGTCTCTATATATACACACACTAATGTGGTTTACAGTGTAGGTTCAATTTTCAAAGTTGGTAAGTTTCTCTAATGTTAATACAAATTTTAATTTTAAACTTAGTTTATGCAATATTTAAGACATGCAAAAAGGCATAAGGAATACTAATAAAATGCGTCAGGTGCCCCCCATGCAACTGATGAAATTAAACATGGATTATTCAGTCGAAGCTCCTTGCTCCCTTCTCCAACCGTGTCCCGTTCCTTCCGTGCCTTCCGAAGGCAGCTACTGTCCTGAAGGTGGTGTTTATAGTTACCTTTCATTTCTTTATATTCCACTACAGTTGTATGTATCCCCTTAAAGAATATGCAATTCTTCTAACTTCTTTCTTTATTTTCTGGTCGCACCGTGTGGCACGCGGGATCTTATTTCCCGGACCAGGGATTGAACCTACGCCCTCTGCACTGGGAACACAGATCTAACCACTGGACAGCTAGGGAAGCCCCATGACTTCTCATTTTAATATAATGTCAAACTTACAGGACAATTCTAATAATAGTGCAAAAAACTCCCTAAAGCCCTTTACCACACTCACCAAATGTTTGTATTTACATTATCATAACATACACTGTATGTTTACTCATTAGAGTATATAATGTTGTTTTGCATGTTTTAAACAAGACGTCAATGGCACGCAGCCCCCGTTCTTCACAGTCTTTTTCACATACTAAGGCTTGTGAAATTCATCCATGTTGACACATGTAAGCTTCTACAAGCTCTTTTTAAATACTGTACAGTATTCTCTTGAGTGAGTATGCTATAGTCTATCTGTTCTCCCGTTATTGGCTATTTAGGCTCTTTCCAAAGTTTTGCTAATTCAAACAGTGCTGCTATGAATTTAAACTACATTTAACTTCAGCAAAATATAGAGGCATGGTCACGTATGAATCATGATTCAGAGAGGGTTGGATGGCATCACCGACTCGATGGACATGAGTCTGAGTAAACTCCGGGAGTTGGTGATGGACAGGGAGGCCTGGCGTGCTGCAGTCCATGGGGTCGCAAAGAGTCAGACTTGACTGAGCGACTGATCTGAACTGAACTGAGCAACTTTAAAGGTAATATAAAGATTATAAAACTAAACATCATAAAAGCACAACACTGGCCATTTAAATTAACATTTTTCTGTCCCGTTAAACTTTATAGCAATCCACTTCTTAAAACTAAGTATTCTGGACGTGGGTGAAACTGCATGTTGGATTTGCAGAGTAATTAGGCTTTATTCTTGTGACATATTTATCTTTGCTACTCATTTTTTCCCATTGTTATGGGCACTATTAATATGAGTGTACCAATTCAGTCTTCTATAAATTGGAGCAGAGAATAACTTCCCATTGATATCACTGAGAACATTTGTACAGTTTTATTTTGCTGATGAAAGGAGAATGCCCTCTGTGCGCCGCCCCACCCCCCAGGAAAAGTTGCTGTCAGTTCTTTTACTTGTGAGCCGAGTCTGTGCCACGAGCAGTTTGTCTAGGGGCACAAACATTTTTATTGTTCAAACATTATTTGCCCAGGTGTATTCAGCTTCACCAGGCAAATTACATATTGGAGATGCATGGCCTTATCTCAGTCTCCCAACTATTCTTATATAATTCTTGACACTAATCTCAGGTCAGGAATCAGAAAGAGGCTGAGAAACTCACTCGTGTTGTAAACGGCACAGCAAGGTCGCAGAACTCAGGTCTCAGGAACCCAAGAGAAAGTCCATGCTCCTCACCTCTGAGCCACACTGCTACCCCACCATGAGCGCCTGGACCCAAAGGACTGATCCAACTGTGACTACTTTATTTATATACAGTGCCCCCATTTTACTGATGCAGAAACCAACATGCAGAAAGGTTCCATCGTTCTAGGATGACAGCAAGTAAATGGCTCAGCTCAGACCCAGGATTGTGGTGTGTGTGTGTGAGTCGCTCAGTCGTGTCCGACACTGTGTGACTCCACGGACTGAAACCCGCCAGGCTTCTCTGTCCACGGGATTCTCCAGGCAAGAATACTGGAGTGGGTTGCCATTCCCTTCTCTAGGGGATCTTCCCAACCCAAGGATCAAACCCAGGTCTCCCACACTGCGGGCACATTCTTTACCGTCTGAGTCACCAGGGGAGCCCAGACGCAGGACCGCCTCACTTTAAAGCCCCGTCTGCAACACCAGTGTCTTCTACGCAGCTTATACGTACAAGACACAATGCTGGGAACGCTTGTTGAAGTATTTAACTGCCCAAGCGTTTTCCAGGGTCTCCACCAGGAAAGTCATTTGGTCTGTAAATCCATAGCAATTAGAGTAGCTTTCAGAAGTTGTATAAAAGGTGGTTAAAAGGAACAGATACTTAAATATATATGCCCATCTAAAAAAGTCATAAATGCTTCTTCCGACTGTGAAAAGTATTATTTATTGTTGTTGTTGAAGCCAGTGTTTGGGGCAGAGAAACTGTATCCAAACATTTATTTAGAAAATTGATTTATCTTCGGGAATCTCGGGGAGACAACCAGATCTTTTTAAAATAGGAATCTGACCCTTCCCAGTCTCAAAACTCTCCAGCTGGATTGAAGCAGAGAGTTGGAGGCTGGGTGCCCGGCAGGGTTTGGACGGTGGGTTTCCTTCTGACAGTGGGCGGGCTTGTTGTCCTGTGGTCTGTTTTGTATAGCCCACCAGCTCAGAATGAATTTCATCATCTTAAATGGCTTTTTAAAACCAAAAGAAGAATAACATTTCATGATGTGAAAATGCACAAAATGCAAGTTTCAGTGTCTGTAAGACATTTTTTTTGGCACAGAGCGATGCTCATCTGTTACATACTGTCTACAGCTACCCCTGCACTTCAGTGGCCATGCTGAACTCAGACAAAAACCCACGAAGCTGAGACTCCCTCTCTGGCTCTAGCCGGGTGCTTGCGTTAGAGGGCTGACTAAGAGGGCAGGCTCTGGAGTCTGGGTTCAAGACTCAGTTCCTCTGCTTATAAGATGTGGTCGCTGAATGTGAACAGGTAAATTCAGATGAGTTGACTTAGTGATTTCTGCCTTCTATCAAGGAGAAATGAGCAGCACTGGAAATTTCTACAGTTCTTTTGCTCCACAGTGCAGTAACAGAGAACGTAAGGATACAGCAAGAGTGAAACTGTAAAATATGTATTTGCAATTCCTTATGCAGTGTTGTCTCATGTTCATGCATATGCCACTTGTACTAGTGAGGCCTCCTGAGTGCTAACAACAGCAGCCACCAACTCAAGCTTGCTCAGACATCGGAGGGAGTGGGATCTCCCTCTGAACTGAAACATACAGATATGAGGCAGGTCTCAAGCGCCGCCACTCTGAAATCGCTGCCTCCTTTCCTGTCCTGGCTCCGTCCTCCTGCCGGCTGTGGGCACATGGCGCAGAGGGCCGACCCCTGATCTGTGCAGCACGCGGATGCCCCCGACCCCCTGATCTGTGCAGCACATGGACACCCCCTACCACTGCACCAGAGGCTGAGTGTCACTGCAGTCGGACCAGTCTCAGGGTCCCGCTGGCCCGTGAAGCAGGCTCAGGGCAAAGGCCGTTGGGGGGAGTCCCACCCGCTCTGCTCCGAGGGAGGCAGGCTGGGTGCTGAGAGAATGCTGGCTCTGTGAGTACAGAGCTGCATGTAAGACGTTACCTGTGACGTGTTTATCAAGAAAACCAGCCCAGGGACTTCCCTGGTGGTCCAGTGGTAAGATTCAGCGGTCCCAGTGCAGGCGGCCCTGGTTCTACCCCCAGGCAACGAACTGGATCCCACACGCCGCAACTAAGTGTTCACACGCCACCCGAAGATCGCAGTGCCCACGTTCTGCAGCGGCACAGCCAAATGCATAAATAAATAAGATAGAGGTTTAAAAACAGAAAACCCATCCATCATGGACCAAGGATTCCGTTTTTAATATTCGAAACGAATGCCACTTCTGGTTTTTTGTTTTTTTTTTTTTTTGCCATTTCTGTTTTTATTAAACTAGTCCTAAGCTAAAAGGTTCAACAAGGGTGGCTTGGTTCCTACCTGAAAGATACAAAATCCTAGGCTGCAGTCATAACGCTTGGGTCCCCAGTGCCTTGTTTCCCTCCAGCATCATCAAGATAAGCGCTTTAGGAACCAGCAAGGCTGAACTACCTGCATTGTGTTAGATCTTGGAATCCCACCGGGAAGCTTGCTCTTAGCTTTCTAGCACTGTGGGGGTAGGTGCCCTTTGAAAGAGTCTTATATATCAGTAAATGGAATGGAAATCTTCAAACATTTATTTCCTTGTAAGACCAGTTTTGCAGTTTTTAAGTTGAGGCAACAGCTGTCATGTAAAGCTGACTGATGTGTTTATGTATGAAGAAGCCTGCATAATATGGTTTGGACCACTTGTAATGTGTTGCAGGAGAGCTCAGACAGATAATGACTGCCTAATTACCTGTAATTGGATTCTCTTTGTAAAAATCTACAACAAAGCAAAAAAGCAAAGGTTCACTTTTAGCCTGAAAACTCTTACATAGGAAGTTTAACTTCTTATTGAAATATACCTGAGCCATTGTTCTGTTCTTATTGCTGTTTAATTGCTAAGTCATAGCCGACTCTTCGCGACCCCATGGGCTGTAACCCGCCAGCTCCTCTGTTCGTGGGATTTCCCAGGAAAGAAGACTGGAGTGGGTTGCCATTTTCTCCTCCAGGGGATCTTCCTGACCCAGGGATTGAACCTGTGTCTTCTGTATTGGCAGGGAGGCTCTTTACCACCGAGCCAGCAGGGAAGCCAGCTGAGCCATTACTGCCAGAAAATCCGTCAAGGAGAGCTGTATTCTCATTTCGAGTGTACCGATTCTGGGACTGGCTAGTCACTATGATTCCACACCCTTGAGCAGTCATTTTTTTAGGTCTTATAGTTGCTATTATATCATTAAACATTCCTTTCATGCTTAACCCTTGTTTCCTGAAGTGAACTTTAATTCAACACCGAAAACATGCCATGTCTCATTGAGACATATGAGATTTCTAATGCTTTACCAGATCATAGAAATTTAGAAAGCTTATAACCTTTACAGCTCACAGATCCTGCTTTCACGGTGTGGAAATCATCGCCTCCCTTTCTTTCTTAGCTCCTCTGCTGACTTTGCTGCCATCGATGTTAATTCTTGCTGTATACAACTTTAGCCATGTTACACCTGGATGGGGTGACAGAGACTTGAGATCCACTCTTCCCATCAAGGGCTTCTGACTCTAGGAATGTCCTTCTTCAGAGCAAAATGGCTAATTAGCTTCCTTGAAACATCCTGTTTCCATTCCCCTGGGGAAGGTGAAGCTGAGACAAGCTTAGAGAGATTTTTAATTACACTTGTGCCTTTTCAGGCAAGAAGTAATTCCGCCTCTGCCTCTAGCCTGGGACATGGGGGAGAGCCGAGGGAGGATCAGAGAGAGGGGGTGACTCTTGTGGGTTCTGTAAGTTTAGGACGATTTCGTTGTAAGTTTCAAGGGCTCTGAGTTCTCACATCAACAGACACTTGATTGTGCTTTGCTTTCCCAAGCGCTGTTTTGAAGTATTTACTCCACAGCAAACTCTGAGCAGAATTTTAGTGGACTGTTTTTCCAGCCAGCCTACAAGGCCCCTTGTGATTTTGCAGACTGGCTGTGATCACATCTGGGTGCATTTTGGGGGACGGCGCATGTAACCTTTGGGGTGGTGGGGTTGCATCTCCACAGAGAGACTGTCTCCTGATGACCCCGGTCCTCCACTTGCGGGTCAGCTGAATTTGGTAACAGGAAGTGGACACACAAAAGGTGCCCATCTTGACTCCCTGCTGGCCCGGTGGTTGAGAGTCTGCCTGCCAACGTGGCGGACACAGGTTTGATCCCCAGTCTGGGAAGATTCCGCACGCCTCGGGGCAACAAAGCCCATGCGCCACAGTTCCTGAAGCCCACACACCCTAGAGCACGGGAGGCCCCTGGACTGGGAAGCCTGCACCCCGCAGCTGGGGAGCAGCCCCACCCCGCAGCTGGAGAAAGCCGCCCAGCAACCAAGACCCAGCGCACCACAGACAAACAAGTAAAATCATTTTTTAAAAAGGTGGCCATCTATTCTCTCTTCATTCACCTTGGCAGAGAGGTCTTTCCAGCCCTCCTAGAAAAATCTCTGCCATAAGTTAGAGAAGTATTGTTCGTGGTTAATAATTTATTAGTTGTTTTTTTTTTTTACTATCAATGCCATTATTTTAGATACCACAGTAGTTGTCTTTTGTTGTTTTTTTGCTGTTGTTTAGTCACTAAGTTGTGTCTGGCTCTTTGCGACCCTGTGGACTGTAGCCAACCAGGCTCCTCTGTCTATGGGATTCTCCAGGCAAGAATACTGGATTGATTGCCATTTCCTTCTCCAGGGGATCTTCCTGAACCAGGCACTGAGTCTCCTGCTTGGCAAGTGGGTTCTTCACTGCTGGGCCATCAGGGAAGCCCCCTAGTGGTTGTCTTAATATAAAAAGTCTGCTTGGAATGAATATTTACTTATAAATGGCAACCCACTCCAGTATTTTTGCCTAGAGAATCCCATGGACAGAAGAGCCTGGTGGGCTACAGTCTGTGGGGTCGCAAAAAGTCAGACATGACTGAGCGACTAATGCTATACTATCTCTTAGAACTAAGGCTGCATGTTTGAATTTCAGAGAATCTTTTTCTTAGAAGAAACCTGCCTCTTTTCTTCTCCTCAGGAATGTTTCATGACATCTCTGTTGCTTGGTGAGTAATCAGACATGAAAACAGGCCCTCAAGAATCAAGCTACGTTTAAGGAAGACTTACTTAGAGACCCTGGAGAGGACACCATGGAGTGCAAATCTGAGGGGAAAGAAAAATACCAACACAGCTTGAACTTACTGAATAAAATCAAGAACATGAAAGATTTAGCGGAGATGATTGATGTTGTAATCGTCGCGGAAGGGGAGAAGTTCCCTTGCCACAGACTGGTCCTGGCTGCCTTTAGTCCTTATTTCAAAGCCATGTTTACCTGTGGGCTCCTCGAGTGCACCCAGAGAGAGGTGGTGCTCTACGACACCACGGCGGAAAGCGTGTCGGTGATACTGCATTACATGTACCACGCGGCTTTGGAGATCAGTAACGCCAACGTGCAGACTGTGGCCATGGCCGCCTACTTCATGCAGATGGAGGAGGTCTTCCAGGCGTGTCAGAAGTACATGATGGCCCACATGGATGCCTCGAACTGTGTCGGCATCTATTATTTTGCAAAGCAGATTGGCGCTGAAGACTTAGCTGATCAGTCACGGAAATATTTGTATCAGCACTTTGCTGAGGTGAGCTTACACGAAGAGATCCTAGAAGTGGAGGTGCACCAGCTCCTGACGCTTATTCAGTCTGACGACCTGAACGTGTCCAGAGAGGAAAGCATTCTGGACCTTGTTCTGAGATGGGTCAATCACCGCCCAGACCAGCGCACGGGGCATCTCGTGGAGCTCCTGAAGCAGGTTAGGTTACAACTGGTCAGCCCTTCCTTCCTGAGACAAGCCCTGCAGAGGAGCACAGTGCTCCTGTGCGATGCAAACTGCATCGGCCTCATTCAGAACGCGCTCAAAGCCATCAAGACGCCCCAGCCGCACGTCCTGAATCTTCGTTACGGCATGGAGACCACCAGCCTCCTGCTGTGCATTGGCACCAACGCTTCAGGGATCAGGTCAAGACACAGGAACTACGGGGACGCCAGCTTTTGCTATGACCCTGCATCACGGAAGACCTATTTCATCTCGTCTCCCAAGTACGGGGAAGGTTTGGGCACCGTGTGTGCTGGTGTCGTCATGGAAGACAACGCTATCATCTTGGCTGGGGAAGCCAGCGCCTCTAAACTCTCCAGACAAAAGAGCAAGAACGTTGAAATCTACAGGTTTGTATCCAGCGATGTGCTTGTAAGTTTGTTTCTATTATCTGGCTTTGACACTGGCAGCAGAAGTTACTGCTGAGAGTGCATGTTTTAAATCACACGTGTTCTGAATTACCGCACGATCATGTATTTTTACATAGAGGTAAAGTTCATAATGAAAGCATCCACATTATTTTCCCTCTCTGTTTCATTGTTAAGAAGCCACCTGCGATGCAGGAGACCTGGGTTCAATCCCTGGGTTGGGAAGATCCCCTGGAGAAGGGAAAGGCTCCCCACTCCAGTATTCTGGCCTGGAGAGTTCCAGGGACTGTGTGGTCCATGGGGTCGCAAAGAGTTGGACACGACTGAGTGACTTTCACTTCACCTTCGTTGTTAAGAAGGTATAGATGAAGTTGCATGAGTTAGATGTGTATGTTTTACAATTCCTCTGTATATTCTCATTCAGTTTTCACTGTTTATCCATATGCTATAGTCGCTTTGCTTTTGAAGAGTTGCATATAACTTTTA